GTCATTGGCACCCTTCTCTTGCTGTCCTCCCTGCATACAACCATGCCTCTTAAGTTGCCTTTGCCAAGCCAGCTACAGCTTTCTTTCCAGGGAGGGTAACTTTCTGTGTCTCATTCTCTCTGTTTATGACTACCAGTGTAGAGATGGTGAAGATCAGTTCGGAGATCTTGCCAGGTGACCGCGGTTTACAGGGAGACTACAACCCAGAGAATTATACTCCAGATTTTGTGTGTGTGCGTATATTTTTCTAAGGAGACAGATCTCATCAAGTTTTCTCAAGGACTCACCCCTCAAAAAAGATTAAGAACCAAAAAAGCCAGATGGATTCTTGCTACCACAATGTTCTCCCTGTTGAGATGTTCAGGCTCTATGTGGAGGAGTGACAAATGAGTTGATCTTTATGCAATGAGGTTCTCTGGGCTTTTTCCCTCCCTTGATGCTACCTGGGGCATTGGCTGACTCTACCAAAGAAGAAATTCTTGAAGAAATTATTAGGAAGCCAAGAGAAGAAGAAGGTACTTAACTGTCCTTAAGCTTTCCTCACGTGATACCTGCCCCGAGGAAGAGCTGAACAAGAGACGAAGATCTCAGGAAGTTTAGAGTCTCCCAGGAGCTTTGGAGGGTCCCTGGGTGGGCCATGGACTGATGCCAGGGTGGCACACATGGTCAGCCTGAAGAGAAAGTCACAGATTCTAAATCCAAAGGGATCAGAGGCTCTCACTTCAGCCTCCTGCCTGGTTTGGGAAATCTCTCCACCTTATTTGACAACCTCTGATTGGAGCTTTGCTCAACTACTTCCAGAGAAAGAGAGCCCTTTGTGGAGAGGAAAGGAGCAGAGGAATTTTTACTACAAATGTTTGGCCAACTGGAAATTTGCCCAACACAAATAAAGCTATGGTTCACGTTGTACCCTTTCAGAGACTTCCCCTTGCCCATTGCTTTTCTGTTTCTCACCACTGTCCAGAGTTTGGGGCAGGGCGCAGGCAGTGGACTGGATTGTGCTTTCTCTCCTAGAGCCAAAAACCTGTACTTGTTTGTGATCTTGGCTTTACAAAATGTGAAAATGACATATCCTTAATTTCATTTTCTAAGAGGGGAAGGTAAAACATATGGGAAGGAGGCAGAGGAGAACCAGCATGGAAGGTTGGAAAGAGACCAGAAGGCCACCCTGTCCCTCTTCCTTACACCCCTCGATGGCCCCAGAAGTGGCCAGACAGCTCTACTGGAACATTTTCAGGGACAGAGGGCTTGCAACTTTTGAAGCAGTCCATTGAATGAGGACCTATCCTTTTCTCACAGGAAATGGCCAGGGATAAATAGAGGAGAAACAGGTTCCCACTCGTGTAGGACCGCTCCTGTGAGGAACAAGGAAATGGTTTGAAGGCGAAGATTCCCTGAGGAAGCAAACAAGCAGCGGAATGTGTCACCAGCCCTCAGTGGTGTTTTGGTCTTGACGCTTACAACTGCAGCATGTACAGAAGCAGTGGGTCATGGCTAAGCGCTGTGGCGTACCTTTCAAGAGTTGGAAATAACCTGCCATGACATGCCAGGCTTCGGTACTCTGCCACTTAAATGTCTCTTTAGCCCAGACCTTGTGTGTGTCTCTTCAGTCTGGAAACTTTTTCGTCTGAAAATACCCTCACTTGAAAATGCCTTTTAAGCAGAGCTTATTTTAGTTCCTTTTCAGAATTTTTGACAGAACAACAAGAGCCTCAAAATCTTCTCTTTCATCCTTCTCATTTTAGAGGGAGAAACTGAGGCCTAGGGAGGGAGGGGCAGTTTGTCAAAAGTCATGCTGTTCACATGTCTTGTCTTCCATCCTCCAACAATGCTTGTTAGGATGGGCCTTGGCTCACTTTCAAGGTTTGATTTTCTCCCAATTCTTCTCTCCACTGACCTGAGGTGATAGACCCCACTTTCTAAAGGAACTCTTAATTTTTGAAGTTTCTCCTGACCCCTGGGCAAGGCGGGAAACAAGGAAATTCACTTGAACAGCTACCGTGTTATGGAATAGCCTGACTCAGGGGTGATTCTAGCTATTACAGCAACGACTTCCACCAGACCTAACAGAGAAGTATCCAGAATCCTCAAGACTTAGCCAAAGAAATTTAAGGATACTTCTCTTTGAGATGAGTGGGTCCAAGTGTTGGAGTTGTAGGAATCAACAAGGGTTCTTTCCTAGCCCCTCTAACTGACCATGGGTGAAGTCACTTTTTTGTGTGCCTTGCTTGGCTCAAATCTAAAATGGAGCATACGTACAGGTGACATACAGCACTGCCTATGTAAGACATGCTGTTTTAAGAAAGTAGCAACTGATCTGTGAGGTATTCCCTAAGCTTACCAAAGCCCTGTCTCTCCAAGGTGTATCTTGAACATGAGCAGTCAACCATGGTAACAACACTTTGGGATCTGAAGAAATGGAATGATTAGATGTGGAGAGTGAAGCATTTTGGGTTTTAATGACAAACTTGAGAGGGGAAATTCCAGTGTGGGCAGTAGTCTTTACAAGAAGGGATAATTAGACAAAAATATCATCTTAATGGGTTTCCACACTTTGGGTTTTTCTTTTTTTAATTTAGGGGATAAAGATTTGATCACAGAATTCCTAGAATGAAAGAAAGATGATGAAAGCACAGGTAAACTTTCAGAATTTCCACAATTCTGAGAAAGGTGCCTTCGCTAACGTGCCATGTTGGTAACATCAGGAGAATTCTCTTTTTAACCACATCCCAGGACCCAGTAATACAGAGACTAAAAACACCTAAGTTGACTAATACATCCTCTGCAACCCATCACAATTTTAACTGGCGGCTTTGGAAATTTTCAGAATGAAAATCTGCCTTATGAATCAGCTAGAAATTGCATCTGTTGACAGTCTGTTTGATTTCGTTAGAGACCTCTCCCCCCTGAGGAATAAAAAGTCTTGTTTATTTTAAGACTGGGTTCCCCCTCTTGGAGGAAAAGGTCTGAGATGAGGTTCTTTCTTATCCTGGGGTGGTTCCTAAACTGTATGTTAATCCAAGAAACTCAACCCATTTCACTCTTTGGCTACCAAGTCTTCATTAGCCTCTTGACTGGACTATTTTAGGGGCTTCGCAACTTGTCTCTGTGCACCTGATCTCCCTCCACTCTATGCCAGGGTCATCTCACAGACGTGTCCGCAATGAATGGGAAAATCGTAAGTCAGGGAGCCCTGGGTTGGAACACCAACTCTGTCCCTGTCTGTGTGACTTCTGAGTTTTGGGTTCTTCACTCAGTGAGGTTGTGGTATCCACACTGCGAAGTGGTTATGAGGATGAAAATGAGACTTGCATGTCTAGCACAAGGAAGGCGCTCTATAAATGGTCACGGTCATTTTTATTGTCTAGTAGTCATTGGATAGTCCATTTGACCCCATCCTGTGTTTTCATACTCGATCCCCAACCCCACATGCTCATCCAGTGTTGGGGGCCACAACAAACCCCCTGCTGTTCCCTCATCTTCTGATGTGTCTTTGGTCATAGGGCCTTTCTATCTGGAATGTCCACTTGGGCAACTTTACTAGTCTCTCAGGGCTCTTTTTGCACGCTACTGTCATGCAGCTTCTCTCTTTGTCCTGCTCACATAGATTCCATCACCTTCTAATCATTAGCACTGTTCTGATGTCCATGCCTTTCCTTCCCTTGCTGGGTTATAAGTCTCTCACGGATTGAGATTATGTCTCATTCATTTTCATATTTCCTATGGTGTCGAGATGGGGACTGAGAGGTGCCAAATAGATTTTTGGAGACCTGAGTGAATGGAAGATTTCTCATAATACTCCCACTTGCCACATGGCCACCAAGACCATTCATATCTCCAGATAAGTCACCAGTGGCTAGCAATAACACAGGTTTACTGGAAATGTGTTTCCCAGATATGTTGTAAAGGCTTCTCTGTTCTAGCTTGGACTGTCCTCCCACTTTGCAAAGATCATAATGAAACAGAAGTCATCTCATAAACCTTCCAGAAATCATGCCTTCTTCAACTCCACAATAAAGAAATTCCTACCCCTGGGTCAGCTCACAGCTCAACATAACCTAGCTACTTCACCAAGTAAGCAAAAAGGCACCTTATAGGCCGCAACACACTTCACTTCTTAACACACCCTTCTATGGCTGGTTAGCATTATTATTCATCTAGAAATTAAGGCTATGAAATTGTAGACTTTGATATCTTATCTGTCCTTTTGGGTAAGCAAGGGAAGAAGTTATTAGAAAATTCACACTCAATTAGGGAAGGTGGTTTGAGGTAGAAGTTAGTGGTTTCTGATTTGTTAAAAAAAAATCTTTGACAAAACCCATTTGAAAGGATGAATGAAATCCAAAATTTGCATATGTGTGTGTATATATATACACATATGGATACACGCATACATACACATAAAGTCATAAGAAAAATTAGAGTTCTTAAGGTGAGTACACTTCTGCTTTCTAAAATTTCTATAATGTTGCATATGTAAGGAAAATCCTCGATATTATTTCCTGAAGCAGTTAAAAATAACATATACATCCTCGAAGCCAAACTTAAAATTACCCCAATATTTCCTATATTGCTTACTGACATCTCAGGATATTACCTTGGTCTTAGAGAGATTCCTAGTAGATTTTTCTTGTTATCTTACACCTGGTTGGTGCCGTGAAAAACCAAATCCATTGGAAAGTAAGAGGAAATTTCTTGAGGAGCCTGCTCATTGGTAGCCCTGTTAACATTCCGTTACCATGCCACTCCATTCGCCCTAGAGATAACAAAGACTGAGTGGCAGGAGATCCCCCAGTTTCAAGCTCTGTTTATAGATCGGGGATGACGGAAGCATAACATGGGGCCCTGGGGGGGGTCATGGACAAGGCATAGACCCCAAGATTCAACGCCTTTGTTTGCATTTTCTACTTAAGTAACTCCCCTCTCCTGATTCTGTGGCTGGGAAGAGGTAATATCCGTTAGCCTTACCCAGATTCTGAAGGCACCCCATGACCTCTTACCTGTCATGTGGCCAGATACTGTGATGAAGGTAGAGATTCCCCACATCAGCAAGCTTGGCTCCATCGTCCTGGCACGTGGGATCAGCTGCCTTCTTGAGGGCAGTGGAGAGAAGGTGTTTCTTGGCAGAAGGTCAAGTTTCCTATAAGCCTCTTATTTGCATCATGCTGGGAGGATGGGAGATGAAAGGATATCAGTCCGTCCGGACCGTCATCCTTGCTGCGGTCTCTCTAGTCTCTAGGACAGTCTGGAGTCGCTCTTATTAGGCTGCTTTGTTCAGTCAGGAAATTGTGCCTAGCCCTCTCTAGTCTCAAATATAGGAAGTGGTTTTAACCAGGTTTTTTTTCAAGTTCAATTGCTGGGAGGTGTGGGCTGAGGGAGGGTGAAAAGGATTGGACTTCATTTATGAATCCTTTCTTCAGCTTCACCCAGAGAAGGGAAGGGAGATTCCCCCGCCGCCGAAAGAGGGTGAGCAAGCATTTCTTGGCAGTGGTCTCCTTTCACATTTCATAAATTGACCTCACTGTGAAATTGAGGTCCTCCCCCAGACTTGCGGCTCCCTGGGGAGTCAGCAGGTCCCACACGAGATGGGGGGCGGGGAACCATGGCGGGGTCTTCAATATTGAGGTAATTGAAAAGGAAACAGACTGACCCATACTCAGAATTCATGAATTGTCTCTCGACATCTATATTAAGTAGCGGCTATAATCATTTCACCATGATGCCCAGGTTTTTGAATGTGAGTTGTCATTTTACAAGGTATTTTGCCTCTAGATTTGTCTTTCTCTTAAAGGGTCATACTAGAAGTTGGCTTTTGGGGAACCCGGGTGGATCAGTCGGTTAAGTATCCACCTTCAGCTCAGGTCATGGTCCCAGGGTCTTATGCTGGAATCCCACATCAGGGCTCCCTACTCAGTGGGCAGTCTGCTTCTCCTTCTCCCCCTGCCCCTGCTTTCTCTCTTTCTTTCTCTCTCTCTCTAATAAATAAATGAAATCTTTAAAAAGTGGGCTTTGGTTTTAAACTTTGGACTTTTTTCCCCCAAAATTAAATCTTTCTTCCTTGTTGAATTATCAGAGTTACCTTCTGCTTTTCATGAAATGGTTGACTGTGTTCTGCTGTCCAGAAATTCATGTCCATTAACAATCATCTAGTTATCATAAAATACAGTTTTTTAAGTATTCAAAAGCAAGCAAAAAGAAGACCGTCTGGGCAAACCAAAGTAGTTCATGGTACCAATATATATTGTCTCCACCTCTGACATTCTCTCAGAAAAGCAAGTAGCTCTGAAGAGAGCCTTGGAATTCTGCAGATGAACTGTGGGTGGTTTCCTAGCTGAGTACCAGAGTTTGCAGAGAAAAACAGTCAACTGATCTCTTTCTGGGATACTTATCAAAGTGTGACAAGATTATTTTTTTAAGATTCCAGAGCGGGCTTACCCTCACTGCTAGAAGCACGTTCAACCGCACGCAGGGGAGGGCAGCAAATCCTGTTTTCTCCAGAGTCTGCCCATTCCAATTTAATGGAATTTTACTAGACATAGTTATCACTGCATAATTTTGAAACAAACTTACAGAAAAATTGTAAGTACAATACAAATACCTCCTTCCAATAAACTATGTCAGAATTGTTGCCGGTGCGACGTTCCTTTGCCCCAAATACTTCAGTGAGTATTTCTGACCAACGAAGAAATTCCCCAGCATCAGTACAACCATCGGTTCAGCAACAGGGTTGATGCATTACTACCATCTGTCCTTGGACTCAGGTTTCTCTAGTTGTCTCGGTGACATCCTCCCAGCAAAAGGATCCAGTTCAGAACCATTTCTTGCATCTCTTTGTTGTGTGCCTTTAGCAGGTCCTTGGTCTTTTCTTGGTTTTCATGACCTGACTCATTGGAAGATGACAGGTAAGTCACTTTGTAGATTCTCCTTTAGTTTGGATTTATAGACTGTTTCCTGGTGATTCGATTTAGTTTTGTGTCTTTGGCAGGAATAATGTGGAAGTGGGGCTGTGTTCTTACCTCACACCCTTTTATCCCATTACTGATGATGTTTACTCTGGTCCGTTGGTTAAATAAAATGGTATCTTCCAGGTACCCCTGCTTTAGAGACACTGTTTTCCTCTTTGTATTAAATATTTTGTGATAGGATTTAATATCCATTATTGATTCATTTATTTGTATCTATGTGGACCCATGATTTTTTATTTTATGCAGTAGGTTATAATCTATTACTATTCATTTCAGTGCTCATATTGTCTCCATTTGTCAGTTGGGGGCCCATTCAAGCTGGCTTCTGTGTCCTTTTGATGTGCCTCGTCATTCCTCTTGAGTACTTCTTGCTTTGGGGGCATAAAAAGATTTTCTGGGCTCATCTTTTACTTTCTCTTTCCCAGCCCTGGAATCAGCCATTTATCCAAAGACCCTGGTTCCTTTAGAGGAAAATAGTCTTTAGAAGCCACTATATGCTCAATGATGTGCTCATTGCCATCGGGGAAGAACTAATCCCAGGCTCTCCCAGTGGACAAGGCTAGAGAATATATGCATGTACAGTACATGTATGTACACACACATATGCACACACACACATGTTCACCCTCACCTTTCTATCTATATGTATTTCTATACCCATCTACGCATATTGAAAATCATGAATGTGTTCACACTGATACATCCCAACGTCCCACTTTCCATCTAATAACACAGGGTTGAATTCTAGTTTTTTCTTTCCTATCTCTTTAACTCCCTACCCTGACAGTGGGAAATTTGGTTTCCATTATCTCTAGTCTCTTCACTTTTTGATAAAGCCCCCTGTATGTTATCAGCCTCTTATTCCTGCCACGATTCCTTACCCCACATGGATTCCCTCCTTTCCCTGCTCAGGCTCTGAATTCCTACTCTGAGTCAACTCCCAAATTCGGAGCGAATGAGCTTGTCTTGATCAGGCTCTGACAGCCCTTACCAGGCTAGCCCTCCATACCTCACGGATGTGCTTCTGACCCTGCTTGGGTGCAGCACCACTATGCTGGGCCTTTCCTTTTGGGCATGACCTTCTCTACTTGCTTGAGTTCTGCCACCAGTCCCACGTGTGAACATCCTTCCCATCTCACTTGGGCTCAGATGGCCCTTGCCAATCGGCCTGTCCTTTTGGGCCCCTCTCACCCTGATCAGGTTCTAACTTCCCCCACTGGACCGCTCCCTGTGGGAACCCCCACTCCATTCTGCTTAGACCCTGATTCCTCATTTCAGACAGTCTCCCCATGGAGACACCTTCCTCACTACCTTTGGGCTGTGACCCCACCACTGTTCTGGGCAACTGTGCCACCTTCCACCAGAAACCACATTTGTCTTCCTTGCTTTGCTCTCCCTGAAAGATTTAGGACTGAATTGTTCAAAAAAGGAAGGAGAAAAGGCAGGCTAGTGGCTACCAGCAAGACTAAAGTACTAAAAGGAAAATAAGGCCACAATGTGAAATCCAGACACGTTCAGAGAATGAGCACATAGGTAATGAAGAAGCAAATAAAACCATGATCACCTCCAAGATTTTTTGTGTGCTTCATGATTCCTTAAACTCTAGAAGGTCTCATCAATTAATATTTCTTGAGGGAAAGTGACAATTACCTAAAGTTCACTAATACCTTCAATTTTATGTCAGCTTCTTTTTCCTTTATGAAGTTAAAGTAAAATTAAATTTAATGATATTTATTTACAAATTGTTTGAGGATCAAAGAAATACTAACCAGGACTCATAATGTACATTTGGATTAAAGTAGACAACAGAAGTTAATCTCATGAATTAATTTAATTTCTTTATAAAATAATCAAAATTTGAAGCATGATTTTTTTGCTTTACAATAGAACCTCCCTCAGCTCCTCCTCATAGTAATTAGAAGAGCTAAATCTATTTTATTTTATTAGTAACAAAGTGATAAGGTATTAGTAAAATAGATTAACTATCTTTTATTTTTCATTTTTATTATAAAAACAGTATACAAATTACTTTTTTAAAGACGTATTAATTTTTTTTAGGGAAAGCATGTGTGTGAATGAGTCGGGGGAGGGAAAGAGGGAGAGAAAGAATCTGCAGCAGACTCCGCACTGGGTCAGGAACCTGGCACAGGGCTCCACTGCAGAACCCATGAGATCATGACCCAAGTCAAAACCAAGAGTTGGCCACTCAACCCAGATGCCCCGGTAACAAATTGTTAAAATGAAAATAGTGATTCGGCTATGCGAGGCTTGGGAATGTATTCTACTCAGTTACCCGAGAAGAAAGGAAGAATGATTTTGGTGAGCTATTTGGTGAGCTGAGGTCTCCATCACACTCTCATGTTGTGATTGTCAATTTACTGGTCTCCGGTCTGTCACGTAACTTGGGTTGTAATTTCATCCTGTGCTTAGGACATTACTCAGTTTAGCGAATACCCAACGTGTATATCCCACAGCTCTGCGGACTCACCTCTGTGACTAAAAGAATTTTACATGGTTCTGCAACTGGGACTGACATGAACAAGCAGCAAGACTTAACATTTCTAAGTGACTGTGAAAAAAAAATGCAACCTGAAATTTCTTGAAAAAGGAGAATTGAGCTTCTGAAGGCAAATTAGCTGACAATTTTTTTTTTGGAGCCACATGCAATTTCTATGCTCTTCTCTTTTCCCCTACATACCAGTGTAAGCGTGTAAGGACTGTCAAATGTGGCCTTCGTTACAAGGACCTAACTAAGCCAACAATCCTCATAAAAATAACAGTTATTTGGTTTAAAAGCCCCCCCCCAAAGCATTTTCTTAGCTTCTAAGCAAAAACGTTTTTACCTTATCCTTCCCAAATATGGAGACTCTGCCATTTTGCTTTAAACAATAAATCTAACTCAATGATTCCATTGTGTGACATGTTGTAATTTGAAGTTTCTCCCTAATATTAAAGTTTCACATAAACATATCTTGACATTTGAAACAGGAAGTTGTTGAAGGTCGAGCAGCTAAGGAACTCCTAGGACCACTAATAAAGCAGCACAAAAAAATACCTTTAAAGTAACTGATGGTCTTTATAAAATATTTAAATCATATTAATGAAAAGTTTCAAAATAATACCAGATCACAAAGGCCTCACAATTTTTCTGACAAAATAAGAGGACCCACTCTTGGTACTAAGACAGGCTAATATAAAACAAATAGCTGATTTTCCAGTTTGCACTAAGTGACCTTTCAGTCCTTGTTTCCTGACCTTGAGCTTTCTAGTTGACGTCACACTGCACAGTGCAGACACAGAAGATCTAGAGAGAGGAGAGGGTAGCAGAACCATTTTGTCATGAATTATATATCAT